CTTTCCCTTCCCTCTCTCCTGTGTGCACGTGTGCTCTCTGAAGAGGAGTACGTGGAAGAAGGTAGGTGTCTCACCGGTGGTTCTAAGAACCAAGAGACAAGCGCTGTTGGTTCAGTGTTTTGCTTGGGTGGGTTGTGGTGGTAAGTTCCTTGATTGGAATCACAGAATCATTAGGATTGGAAGGGGCCTCTGGAGCTCATCCAGTCCAACCCCCTGCCGAGGCAGGGCCACTGAGAGCAGGTTACACAGGAACATGTCCAGGTGGGTTTTGAATGTCTCCAGAGAGGGAGATTCCATAATCCTTTGTAATGGGTAACTCATGGCAGAGGAGACCACGTTCTAGATTTCTCTACCTGAAACATCAGTAGGATCAAATCCAGCCTGAGTTTTTCTCAGGATCTCTTTTGTCTGAGTGATCCCTTGACTCAAAGCAGGGGTGCGAATGCTGGGCTCAGCGGGAGCTGGAGCCTCAGCTGAATGTATATTAATGATGCTCAAGCACAAAGCTCCAACTGCCTCAGCCTGATGAAGCAGCAAAGCCCGTGGTGCACGCAGACACGCTGGGGCACATCTGGCTGTGCGTTTGGGCTGGGTTTGGGAGCTGGGTTTTCCTGAGCCTCTTGCTGCTTCAGGGCACTGCCAGGCAGCCCGGGCTGCTGCACGGCAAAGCATCCCAGACATTAAAAGCAAAGGGACATGCAAAGGCGAAAGCCCTGCAGTGCTGGAGTGCTCATCTCACGCACGCCATAGATACACTCCGCAGCCTTGTGGCATCCAACTAACTCTGCACTTATTCCTTTCCCTCCTCCCTGGCTCAGAAGAGGAAGAATGGATAGAGGAAGACGACGGTAGTTATTGCACCTTTCTTTATTTCATCTCTCCACTGCTGCTATGAATATGTCGGTGTGTCTTTTGCCTCTCCCTGGTTGGGAAATGGTTTTCTTTCATTCTTCCACTTCTGTCTTTTAGTTCTTGCACTCCCCCTTTCCTGCCCTGCTGTGCTCTGTGTATCTGCTCCTGTGTCTGTGGCTCCTCTCTTACATCTATCAACCAACGTGCTCCTGGTTTGCTATCTTCTTTTCCTTTCCTTCTCTCTTGCTGGGGGACCGCAAGTCTTCCCAGGACCTGCGGGCTCCCGCGTTGCTGGCTCCAGTGGAGGACTCTTGTGGGGATACTGCTCCCTCCAGTGGAAAAATGCTCAAACAGTGTCACAAAAAAGCTTGTGAAGGTGCCGAAGGCACGTTCTCTGATGCCACCAGTGTTGTTCTTCGCTGGGGCTAGAGGGGAGCAATAGGAATCACCCCCCTCCCAGCCTGGGCTATAAGAGCGTGATTAGGATGAGAGGGAATGAGGGACGAACCGGGAGGGGTTATGGATCTGCTGATTTGCACAAGCACGGAGAGCAGCCCGAGTGAAGCTCTTTGCTTCTTTCTCCTGTGGCTACATCTCTGCCGGGTGTCTCTCATCTGGCTCCATGCTGCAGTTGTGCTGGGGGTCTGTAGGGAGCCAGCGGGAGCAATGGCTCTTGGACTCACACTGCCCGTTATTCCACAGGGCAGGAAGAACAGGTAGAGGAAGCGGAGGAGGAGACTGAAGAAACCAGGGCAGAAGGTGAGTGGTGGCTTCGCCAGTGAGCTCCGACAGCCTGGCTGGAGCCCTGCTTTGCTTTGGGGGGCCAAGCAGGGTCTGGGATGTCCCAGCATGGCCAGCAGCACAGGGAGCAGCTCTCCCCTGTATCTGTAGTTCCCAGCAAGGAGATACCAAACCCGAGCTGGCCTTTCCTGATCTACTGAGTGCAGTGACTCTGCAAGCACAAGGATAATGGTGTTTTCTGCTGGTTGCTGATCAGCTGGTGTCCAGCTCTCTGAAACAGTGCCAAAAATTAGTTAAGCCTTTTCCACCAGGAGATCCCATAGGGATTTCCAGAGCTGGGACCATGCTCTGATATGTCTCACCATTGAAAGAGCACTGGACTTCACGAGACCTCTTTGGAACAGATAGGGTGGCCTGATGTGTGCCCCCATGTTACGGCTGGTGGAGCAGGCTCAGATCCCAGACATGCTCCCCAAGCGGGGTGCTGGGACCCCTCTGTGTTGGGGTGATGGGGCTGTCCTCACCCATGGGTGCTCATATTCTCCCCATTGCTTTCAAAACAGAACAAGAAGATGAAACTAAAGCACCAGAAGAAGGTAAAGCAGGAGCAGAAGAGAGACAGTTACAGCCATTTCAGTCCCAATCCCAGTCCCCCAAGACACTGGGCCCTTGGAACAGGGTTTTGTTGTTGAATTCATTTGCTGCTGGAGATAGCAAATCTGTGGTGGATGGTGCAGAGATGCCCTTGCCCCATTCTCTGCCAGGACTGCGGCAGCAGGGTGCTTGCAGGAGGGGTGGCTTTGTGCTGCCTGGGTAAGAAATTCACTCAAAATACAGAAGGAGAAGGTAGCACCACTTGCAACTCTGGTTCCTCTTGGAGAGGAATATCTCTTGGTCTGTCTGTGCATTAGGGATGCTCATGAGGGAATAGCTCTCTCCCCCTTCATTCTGGAGGGAATGAACAGGGTTTAGAGGGGAACAGCCTGGTGGAACCACCCCACTGTGTCCCTGGGCAGGGTGCTGGCCTCCGGCAGCCAAAGCATCATGTTTTCCACAGGCGGAGAGGGGGACCGAGAGCAGGAGCCTGGGGAAGGTGAAGTATCCATCCTTGTTCCTCTCTGAGGCACTGTCCCTTCACCTGCATAAGGAGGTTCCAAACACCGTTCTGCTCAGCCAGGAGCACCAACGTGTGCCTCTGGTTCTGGCACACAGCTCCTTGCATGTGTCTTTGCTGGAGGAGGATCCATGGGAGAGAAGGGTGGCTCGGCTCAGTGTGGTGGGGTTTGGGTCCAGGTGTGAAAGCAAATGCCTCTGTGACACTGACATTGTCTTTCTCTCCTGTTCCTGGGGACCTGCAGGTGAATCAAAGCCAAAACCCAAGTAAGTGTCAATGTGCGAGAGCTGCCCTGGGAGCTGTGCCAGGGCAGAGGCTCTGTGTGACGGGCTTAGCACCATGATCCATAGAGGGCATGGGACATTGAGGCCTGAAAAGCATGAAAGCAGGGTGGGACTGGGACATGGAGAGAAAAAGGAGAGAAACAGGCAGATAGACACAGAACAGGAAGGGGACTCTGAGGATGAGATCTCTTGGCAGTGTTGAAGCATTTTGAGTGTTCCTTGGGGGAAGCTCAGCTGCCCTTTGGCCCTGCAGCTGGAAAAACCCTGTGTGCACCCCAGCCTGGGGTAGATAGTCCATGGCACAGCCAGGGTCTTGCTTCTATAGTGTGTGCCTGGCCATGGGTGGCATGAGGCAGGAGCTGTGAACCATTGCCAGGAACCCATGGGTCCTCCTGGAGCCCTGCAATGCTGCACTATGGGAGGCAGATCTGTCCTCAGCCACAATCTCTTCATCTTTATCTCCCCCTACTGAGTGTCTCCTGCCCCCCCTCAAGCCCACAGAGGATGAGAACATGGTTTCCAGCTCCCTGTGTGGGAGCACACTGGAGCACACAGGTCCTCTGTGCTCTGCTGGGTGAGCAGTGGGGTGGCTGCCAGCCCCAGGGTGCCTGGCAAAGGGTCATGCAGCTTGTAGAGTTATTCCAGCCATGTGGGTGCCTTGGATTGCTTCCCGGGAATGCCACACACAGGTCTTCCTCTGAAGCTGTCCAGCTGGCAATGTCCAGCAAGCAGCATTGCACCCCCTGTCCTCAAAGTGTGCTCCCTCTGCATCCCTGGGGACTCTGAGGTTCAGAGAGGAGGGCTGGGATGTAAGGCACTATCCTGTCCCAAGTACTGGCTGAAGACTCGCCCTTCTCCTCACCTTCCTGCAGGGTCTTTATGCCAAACCTGGTGCCTCCCAAAATCCCGGATGGAGAGAGACTGGATTTTGATGTAAGTAGCGCACAAGATGCCACCCTTGTGAGGTGCTCCCCTCGCCTTGCTCCTCCACACTGTGCCCAGCAGCTCCTGGAGGCCTTCACTTGTGGGAGCCATCACTGCTTCTTCTGTCTGGTGCAGGACATCCACCGCAAGCGCATGGAGAAGGACCTGAATGAATTGCAGGCGCTCATTGAAGCCCACTTTGAGAGCAGAAAGAAGGAGGAAGAGGAGCTCTTGTCCCTCAAGGACAGGATTGTATGTATGCAGCCTTCCCCCATGGCCCTGACAGAAAGACCTGAGACATCCCATGTCCCTGCTAGACAAAGCCTGAGATCTGAGCCAGGTTTTGTCCCCCAGCACCTGGGGAGCTCTTGGTCTGGCTGCTGTGATGCTGCAGTGCCTAATGGAGATGTACCTTTCCCCATGGTCACTGCTCTACTTGCTCTCTTGGGAGATGTGAGAGCAGCAGCTCTTCCCTTGGGGCAATCAGGGATGTGACCCTGCAGATGGAGAGGATGCAGATTCCAAGCCAATGTCCTCTCCTTCTGCAGGAAAAGCGGCGAGCAGAGAGGGCTGAGCAGCAGCGGATCCGCAGCGAGAGGGAGAAGGAGCGACAAGCCCGCATGGCCGTGAGTGTCTCCCAAGGGATGGGGCTGGGGCAGCACCAGCCTGGCCATGGAGCACATGGGAGCACGAGCTGTCCATGAGGTCTCTTTTCTGACCCACTTCTGACCCTGGCAGGAAGAAAGAGCTCGCAAAGAGGAAGAGGAGGCACGGAAGAAGGCTGAGGAGGAAGCGCGGAAGAAGAAAGCTTTCTCCAACATGCTACATTTTGGAGGCTACATGCAGAAGGTGTGATCCTGCCCTGGGTGGTTGCTGGGAAGGGCTCAGCCATGGGCTGGCCTCACAGCACTATTCTTGGTCACAGCAGCAGTGAAAGGGCCAAAGAGAGCATGAGGTTGGGGCCCAGCCTCACCTCATGGACAGGGATGGGGGGTGTCTTCTCCACTATTGCCAAGATTTCGGTAGGGACCTCCCGTGCTTCTGGTGTCCCCAAAGGTGAGGGTGTTGGGGCAGAACTGGGGATGGGATAGAGCAAAGACTGGGCAGATTTCCTTACCTCCAGTGGGCTGATGGTTTCCTCAGTCAGAGAAAAAGGGTGGGAAGAAGCAAACAGAGCGGGAAAAGAAGAAGAAGATCCTCAGCGAACGGCGGAAGCCCCTTAACATCGACCACCTCAATGAGGACAAGCTGAGGTGAGCACCGGCTGTCCAGGACAAGAGCTCTGCTTTGGGTCTCACCTCCTGGGGCAGGATCCTGGGCTGGGGCTGCAGCCCAGACAAGAGGGTGATGGGCGGTGACACCCCACGGGGGCCATGGGCCGTGTGGCTCTGCCAGGCTGCTGCTGACAGCCGTAGCCATCAGAGGGAGCCAGGCTCCCACGCATGGGACATGCATGTCCCCTTCTGTCCCAGCTTCACCCATGGCTCTGGTCCATGCGTGGGACCGGCATTGCCGCATGGATAACACATCCCCATCTGGGCTCGGAGCCTGCAGAGACCCATCTGGGGGAGCAGGCACGACAGAGGCATCGCTGCCCTGTCCCCTGCAGTGAGCCACGTCCCCTTTCTGCACTGACACCTTCCCACAGGGACAAGGCCAAGGAGCTGTGGCAAACCATCCGTGACCTGGAGGCTGAGAAGTTCGACCTGCAGGAAAAGTTCAAGCGGCAGAAATACGAGGTGGGCACAAGTCCTTGGTGAGCTCACTGATCCCCCGTGTGCATGGGGTGACAAACACCCGATAGGCTCTGCACTGAGAGCAAAGCCACAACTGCCTCCTTCTTGGAGATTTTGTCCTTAACGGATCTGGTGAGGATAAAAACATCAACGGAGCTGT